TGATAAGAGCTGTTCTTGAAAAAGAGCAGTTTCTGTCAAGAGCTCTCTCAGCCCCACCTACCTCACAGGGTGGCTGTTGTGGGAGGGGAAGGGAAAGGAGTTTGTAAGCCGCTCTGAGACACCTTTGGGTAGTGAAGGGCGGGGTATAAATCCAATCTCTTCTTCTCTTCTTCTTCTTCCTGGGAATAAACAATGTAATCCTAAAAACACTTTCCTGGGAATAAAACCCACTGAATAAACCAGGAACTAGAAACACGGACCTCTAGCACTAGCAGTTCCCTCTGCTCTATTACATCTGATGAGACATTAACAATGTAATCCTAAGAACACTTTCTTGGGAATGAGCCCCACTGAATAGTCGTGGATAAGATTCTGAGCAAACCTGCATAGGATTGGTCTCCAACCCAGGCTCGGCAGCACTAAGCACTCAGAGTGGTTTGTGCTCATTTTGAATCGATTGTCAGTATTTTTAAAAAAGCCATATCTGGGGGGGGGGGGCTGGGACTTGGCCTCTGAGCCTTCTTTGCTGACCCTTCAGGACAACTGGTTGTCCACTGTGTGAAACAGGAGATGGATCCCTGGTCTGATCCATTAAGGCAGAGCATATGTCCTATCTGTCATAATGACAGTAAAGTGCACTTTGTGATGCTGATATTATGGAATGTCCTCCCTCTCCAGGGATGTTAGCCTGTTCACTTCCATCCTTGTCTTCTGCTGGGGTGGGGTTGGTAAAGACTATTTCCCCCCATCCAGTATTCCTTCAATGACGTCTCCTTCCTGCCCAATGTGTTAATTGCTGCTCCTGTGTATTTTTAGTGATCTGGTTTTAATTTTTTTAAATGATGTTTTATAATATCTTACTTTCACTTGTTAGTTGCCTTGGGGGCCCTGATTGGGCAAAAAGGCAGGATATATATTTTGTAAATAAATCAATAAGTAATGCTGAGAGCTCATCAACTGCACATAATGAGAATGGCCCACAACCCCCTCAATACATGCATTCAACTGTAGCCCTGACCTGGATAGCCCAGGCAAACCTGATTTCGTCAGATCGGAAGCTAAGCAGGGCCGATCCTGGCAAATACTTGGATGGGAGCCCTCCAGAGAATACCAGGGCTGGGACGAAGAGGCAGGCAATAGTAAGCCACCTCTCTGAAATGTCCAAGCCCCACTATGGGTCACCAGAAGTCAACCATGACTTCCAGGCGCACACACACACACACACACACACACAATACATGCAGCCACCATTATTGTCTGAACAGGTGTGAGTGTTGTCATGTTGACACAAAGGGACAGAACCCACCCTGAACTCCTTGGAGGAAGGAGAGGATTTAAAAACACTGGTGGATGAATGAATCCCATTCAAAGATCACCACTTTGGGGTCAGGAAGCAATTGTTCTCCAGGCCAGTTTGGCCAGAGATCCTGAAGGGGTTTTTTTTTTGCCCTCGTCTGGGCTACAGCAGGGTCACTGGGGGTGGGGTGGGTATTTGTGAATTTCCTGCATTGTGCAGGGAGTTGGGCTAGATGACTCTGGAGGTCCCTTCCAACTTTATGATTCTATGAAGTGCCAAGCACACAGGCATAGTGCTGGCTACTAGCAGAACTGCCCAGAGTCATCATGGGTCCCATGACAAAGATTCCGCCTGGGGTCCTCTTATACCCCTAGATTGAATTGAAACACTGTATGAAAACGAATCAGATGACGTTCCCAGCTCCATAGGCCCCCTGCATGATCAGAGCCTTGGAACTTTCATCCCCCTAACTCCCCAATTGAGGTCCTGGCTGCGAATTATGATGCACTGCCTAGAGAACTTGCTTCTGACAAATGAGTCACACCCCAGCAACCAAGACTTGTGGGTTCTTCCCACTTTTCCAGTCCCACAAACACTCCTAACAAGAGGGAGGAGCCCATGTTTTCTTCCAGTGGAGTGATGAATTCTCTGCCATTTTTTTCCCTTCAGGATCCCTCCAGGTCCTCTGATCTTTCTAGCATTTATGCTGCTGCCACACCTTGTACATTGCCTAAATAGGAAAACAAATATTAACCCTCCCATGAAGATAGTTTCAGGTGGGTAGCTATGTCGGTCTCCAATAGCACCTTGAAGACCAGGAGCTTTGACTCACAAAAAGGTATATCCTGGAAATCTTTTTGGTGGTGCTTGTATCTTGCTCAGGCATTAACCCTGGCCACTCTGATATAAAATATCCTTTGCAAAGCCTCTTAGAAACCAGCTGTGATTGCTTTAACCTAAACCACACACACACACACACACACACACAAAATACATGCAGCCACCATTATTGTCTGAACAGGTGTGAGTGTTGTCATGTTGACACAAAGGGACAGAACCCACCCTGAACTCCTTGGAGGAAGGAGAGGATTTAAAAACACTGGTGGATGAATGAATCCCATTCAAAGATCACCACTTTGGGGTCAGGAAGCAATTGTTCTCCAGGCCAGTTTGGCCAGAGATCCTGAAGGGGTTTTTTTTTTGCCCTCGTCTGGACTACAGCAGGGTCACTGGGGGTGGGGGTGGGGGTGGGGAGGTATTTGCGAATTTCCTACTTTGTGCAGGGGGTTGGGCTCGATGACCCTGGAGGTCCCTTCCAACTTTATGATTCCATGAAGTGCCAAGCACACTGGCTACTAGCAGAACTGTCCAGAGTCATGATGGGTCCCATGACAAAGATTCTGCCTGGGATCCTCTTATACCCCTAGATCGAATTGAAACACTGTATGAAAATGAATCAGATGACTTTCCCAGCTCCATAGGCCCCCTGCATGATCAGAGCCTTGGAACCTTCATCCCCCTAACTCCCCAGTTGAGGTCCTGGCTGCGAATCATGATGCACTGCCTAGAGAACTTGCTTCTGACAAATGGGTCACACCCCAGCAACCAAGACTTGTGGGTTCTTCTTCCCACTTTTCTAGTCCCACAAATACTCCTAACAAGAGGGAGGAGCCCATGTTTTCTTCCAGTGGAGTGATGAATTCTCTGCCATTTTTTTCCCTTCAGGATCCCTCCAGGTCCTCTGACCTTTCTAGCATTTATGCTGCTGCCACACCTTGTACATTGCCTAAATAGGAAAACAAATATTAACCCTTCCATGAAGATAGTTTCAGGTGGGTAGCTATGTCGGTCTCCAATAGCACCTTGAAGACCAGGAGCTTTGACTCACGAAAAGGTATATCCTAGAAATCTTGTTGTTGGTGCTTGAATCTTGCTCGGGCATTAACCCTGGCCACTCTGATATAAAATATCCTTTGCAAAGCCTCTTAGAAACCAGCTGTGATTGGTTTAACCTAAACTGACTTATGTTTTATTGTAAATTATATACTGATTTGATGTAAGCTGCCCTGAGCCAGCCTTGGCTGGGAGAGTAGGGTAAAAATCCAATAAACAAACAAACAGTTTTCCTAGTGCAGCAGTTTCAAAGAACTCTTCACTGGAATGGAGAGCTTGAGTGACAGGCTGCTCCCTTTCCCATCCCCCTTCTACGCACCAGCTGAGGAGAAATATATAATTAACTGAGTGCTGAGGTGGGCATGATTTTTCGGGGGGAGTCATTTGGCCAGTTTGTCTTCCAGAAGTCAGACAGTCGATCTGTTGGCTTCTGACAGACTCAGTTGGAGTCATTGAGTCTGACAGAGTAGGTCAGACAGATTGACCTTTGAAGGGAAGGGAAACGACTCCTTTCCTTAACTGTTTGCTATCAGTTCCGAGGAAGAATTCAGTATCAGAACTGAACGTCTAAGAGTCAGCCTAAGCTGAAGTCCGTTTTAGACAGATGCCGGAACTGGGCTTGAGATTTTGGCAAGGGCGAGTAGGTAGTATGCTGCAACTCCTACTCAGGCCAAAAGTAAAAGGTTATATCTTCTGAGGAGGAGGAGAAGAATTCCTACCCAGTTACACAGAGTTAATTGCTCTAAGGAGACCCCTGGTCTGTTTTGAAGGGAATTGGATTTAGACACCTCGGGATATTGAAATAAGCTGTGGTTTTCAAAAGGGAGAGAGTTTAGGTACACAAATAGAGACTGTACCGGAAACCTGAAGAGTCATAGGAAACCATATGAAGAAACATTGTAACTGTAACTAAAATACTCGGGCAAAAGCCTGTCACTGCTAAGATCCAAGAATATATGAAAATAAGCTTAAACAACACTATTTGGATTGTTAAAAGAAGTATAATCTGTATTAATGACAATTTTTACCTCAGCATTTCCAGTCCTTGACTACAGCTATCCCACCCTTGCCTGTTAAATGAAATGGTTATTTCTGTTTGAATGTTATACCGTCTCCAGTGCTATTTGACAAGGAAAAACAAGAGGGCTCCTGCTTATCCCCTCAAGTTCCTGGGCTGGGCTAAAAGACAAATTAGATCTTCATGATGGGGTGGGACAGACAGACTTTTAAAACCATAACTAATCTACGCTACTTGGGGCTGCTCAGTCACAGTTGGGAACTAATTTTTGGCTGGAAAACCTGCCTTAGTGGGGAAGTACCAGGGTCCATCATACCAGCCTCTTGTAAAAATGCTTTCTTCCCAAAATTTCAGTCATCCAAATGGAGAAGAGAATCCAAACCATTTTGGGAACATCCCAAAATTTCAGTCATCCAAATGGAGAACCACTGGGGAGAAAGGCAGGGCGTAAATGAAGTAAATATATAAATATGCAGCAACTTTCGCAGAAGTTCAGCCTACGGGCAGAACAAACTTGAGGGGACTGGGTGGAGGAAATAAAAATGGGAAGTTTCTAATCCAACAATGTAATCATGCAGTCAGCTCAATGGTGCATCTCTACAATCTATGAATCATAAAGCGACGGGTTTATGCTGCACAGCCGCAAAGTGACAGAGTCTGGAGTAGGTGCTGAAGTCAATAGCACCTATAAGTCTCTGTTTGCGTTGAACCAAAGTTCAACCTCAATGTCGGAAATGTCTGCAAGGTCCAAACTGGCAGTATAATTTTCCTTCTCTGGATTTTGCCTCCCAGGTTCCCCTTCTCTGAGGGCCTATCCTCTCATCTCCGTCATCACCAGGCAACCCTCCGGAGTCTCCCACTTCATCCCCGCAGCAGGCGCTTCTCGAGTCCTGTCCCCCCACCCGCCTTCAGGAAGCAACTGCTCAGAGACACAGGCCAGTGAAACTCATGGCAGCAGCGAATCGGAGACGGAGCAGCCCACCCCGCGCTTGAAAAAGCCTCGTCGCAGCCGGACCATCTTTACGGAACTGCAGCTCATGGGGCTGGAGAAGAAATTTCAGAAACAGAAATATCTATCCACTCCAGACAGGTTGGTAGAGGAGAGATAGATCTGTCTGTCTGTCTGTCTGTTTGTGTCTCTATCTATCTATCTATCTATCTATCTATCTATCTATCATCTATCTATCTATCTATCTATCTATCATCTGTCTGTCTATCAATCATCTATCAATCATCTGTCAGTCAGTCAGTCAGTCAGTCAGTCTGTCTGTCTGTCTGTCTGTCTGTCTGGCCTATCTGTCTGTCTGTCTGTCTATCTATCTATCTATCTATCTATCTATGAATCTTCAGAATGAGTAAAATAGTGTCATCTTGTCATTTTACTATATGAAGGCAAAAATAGTTTGTATGGGAACTATTTAAAATGCTATCTATCATCTGTCTGTCTATCTATCAATCATCTATCAATCATCTGTCAGTCAGTCTGTCTGTCGGGCCTATCTATCTATCTATCTATCTATCTATCTATCTATCTATCTATCTATCTATCTATCTATCATCTATCTGTCTGTCTGTCTGTCTGTCTGTCTGTCTAGTGGTGGAAAGTGCTGTCAAATCACAGCTGACTTATGAAAATAAACCCTGTATGGTTTTCAAGACAAGAGATGTTCAGAGGTGGTGTGTTATTGCCTGCCTCTGTATAGCAATCCTTGACTTTCTTGGTCTCCCATCCAAGTACTAACAAGGGCCAGCCCTGCTTAGTTTCCAAGATTGGACTAGATCTTGTGTTCTGTGCATGAATTCACATAGGATGATGGGTCTAATCTTGGCATGGGGCTGGTTCAACAGTCCTTGAGCCTGTACCCAGTGGAGAGAGGAGGAGGAGGGATTAAAAGCATGCCTTCTCTGTCCACTAGGGTTGCCAGGTCCCCCCTGGCCACTGGTGGGGAATGGGGGGGGGGTAGGGTTGGCAGGTCCAGGTTGGAAATACCTGAAGATCTGGGGAGGACAGAGACCTCAGTGGGGTACAATGCTGTAGAGTCCACTTCCCAGAGCATCCATTTTCTCTAGAGGAACTGATCTCTGTAGTCTAGAGATAAGATGTAATTCTAGGGTATCCCCAGGTCCCACCTGGATGCTGGCATTCCTACTGTCCATGCACCCAGCGCGCCAAATACCTGTTAATGCAAATGCATATACATTCTGCCTGTGCAATAGATACATCTTTTGTAAGAAATGGCCAATGCATGTTCACTTTACTGATGGTTCTCTCAGAGCTCTCTCAGCCCCACCTACCTCATACAGAGAGGAAGGGAAGGAGATTGTAAGACACTCTGAGACTCCAAGTGAAGGGCAGGGTATAAATCCAAATCTTCTTCTTCTTCTTCTTCGTACTGATTGTCAAGAGGCAGAGTATAAATATATGAAATGATAAATATTCAGTAGTACTGACTCCTACGAGTGAGAATTTTGGTGGCAACCAATCAAGATTCATTTTTACAACTTGGGGAAGTCATACCTCCACTTTCTGTTTTGGAAAATGCAAGAACAGATAAATAAACCCCATTTTCTAATTCACTGAGGCTGAATCACACCCCCTCCCTTAGTGCACGGAATGAATCTTCAGAATGAGTAAAATAGTGTCATCTTGTCATTTTACTATATGAAGGCAAAAATAGTTTGTATGGGAACTATTTAAAATGTAGGCATATACTTTATCTAAAAAACATTATTTTTTAATTCCATGCAAAAGAAATATATCCAACAGAAAATCCAATAAATTAAGCTGGCTCTCGATACTGTATTTTAGCTTGGGATTCTGTGAGAAGAGCAGATTAAAATAGCTAACTTCATTGCTGCCTTCAAAGACGTCACATAGAGCAGAACTACTTGCCGTCTGATTCACCATTTGTCTCCCAACATCAGTATTATTTAAAGGCTTTCTTTTTTTAAAAAAGCCTTCAAGTTAATCATGCAGACCCTATCTTTTAACTTCTCTAGCTGCTCTTTTTTTTACTTGGAAGAGAGTTTTCCTTTCATGTATAGGTATATTTCATGTATAGGTATATTCTTTTATAGCCCTAGGAAGCAAGGACCAGTTGACATCCGAAACAGATCAAATGATTGCTCTCCCATGCATCTGGAGAAGGACACGTTGACTGCTCTGAGCCCTTAGTGCTGCAATCTCATGAACCCTAGATCTAACACATTACGTTTTAGAATGCCTCCACATCAGGCACTGAAATAGTAACCTTTCTGCTTTTGGACATCAATCCCACTATCTCCTATAGAATGGCACTCTATGCTCATGCTGCAAGGAAAATCAGAGATAAGGCTACGAAATGACTGTACTTTTAGAATGTGCTATTTGAGAAACCTGATTTTGAAACCTATATTCTTTGTTGATATATTTTAATTTTTTTAAAATGTATTGCCAATCTTTGAACTGTTTTTTATATTTTATATCGTGATGGCCAATGCAATAAACTTTTGATTGGATTTCTCATGAACCCTTACCTGACAGTAAGTCCCACTGACTTCAGTGGGTCCTTATTTGCAAGTCAACCCACATTGGCTTGGGCTGTGTCTCTTCTAAGACTGGGGATTTCTCTAGGTTTGCGTCTTAATTTTTGAAAGGGGACGCCTTGTGGGATTCAGGCCAGAGCAGAAAACTTTCTTGGAGCTTACTTGGAGGATGGGGAACGGTGACTTGGTGTGCTCATCCCACCTGTTTGGGTGCTGAGAGCTCAGTGATGGCTTCTGAGCATGTGAAGATGAGTGTGCTGCTGGTCAAGTGCTCGGGCACACGCTCAGATTAGATTTCAAAGCTGCCTTCCCCTAGAATCAAAGGCTACATGAATAGAGCATATCAGTGGAAAATACATACCGGGCTTTGGGAGTGCTTGATACATGCTTATGCCAGCACGAGTTTATCTGGAGTGATATGAAATGGAGCAGGGCGGTGGTGCTTCTTTCCTTCTTCCTAACCTTCGAAAGGGTTGACCTGTATGTTTCCTCTGGCTAGTATGAAACGGGAACTGACATAGGTACGGAGCAGTGCAGGGAAAAGAAAGAAAGAATTGCGTGGAAGATCAGAAAAAGTCAAAGGGCAGGGCTATGCTTTATATGCATTTTTTTTGTGGATCTTTTTCCAAGTTTTTTTTTAAAATTTAAGTAAGGGTGTGGGCTGTGACCTACTGAGGGAGGTGGGGTTCAGGGAGATGTAAATTTCCCCCAGAAGGGATGAAAGCCCCTTGAAAGATCCCTTCCAGTCCGGATGTCTTCCAGTCCAGCTTTTGCCCTGCCCATGAGACAGAGACAGTGTTGGTCGCCCTGGTGGATGATCTCCAGAAACATCTGGATCGAGGCCGTTTGGCACTGCTTGATCTGTCAGCAGCGTTCGATATGGTTGACCATGATGTGTTAACCCACTGCCTTGCTCACGCGGGGATACGGGGGCTCACCGTGCAGTGGCTGACTTCCTTTCTCCAAGGTTGATGACATTGGGGGGAGGATCTCTTGCAGCAGCACCCACTCAAATATGGTGGGCCACAGGGAGCAATCCTCTCCCCTATGTTAGTTAATATCTACATGTGTCCCCTCGCCCAGATTATCCAGAGGTATGGGCTGAGGTGTCACCAGTATGCAGATGACACCCAGTTCTATCTACTGATGGATGGCCGCCTAGATTCAGCCTCAGAAGATCTGGACAAGGCCTTACAAGCAGTGGCTGGGTGGTTGTGACAGAGCAAACTGAAGCTGAGTCCATCGAAGACAGACATCCTACACCTGAGTTGTGTGGGACCGGGAGCAGGAATCAGGCTTCTAACCTTCAATGGGCTCCACTGGTGCCAGCATCAAGGGTGAAGAGCCTGGGGGTTCTCCTGGATGTCTCCCTTTCCATGGAGGCCCAGGTCACCGCCACTGCGGTCTGTCTTTTTTCATCTGAGGCAGATCAGGCAGTTAGCCTCAAATCTCACCCCCCGAGACCTGGCTACAGTGACCCATGCAATGGTCACTTCCAGGCTGGATTATTGTAACTCCCTCTACATGGGGCTGCCCTTGACTCTGCTCCGGAAGTTGCAGCTAATGCAGAACAAGGAAGCACGGGTGTTGACGGCGATGCCTTTGCAGGCTCACATCCACCCAGTGCTGCATGAACTGCACTGGCTGCCTATTGAATTCCAGATCCATTTCAAGGTGCTGGTGCTTACCTTTAAAGCCCTATTCGGCCAGGGGCCAACATATATTCAGGACTGCCTCTCCCCATATGAGCCCTGTAGAGCACTGAGATCTACAAATCAACAGCTTTTGGTAGTCCCCGGCCCCAGGAACGTCCAACTTGCCTCAACTAGGGCCAGGGGCTCCTTATTCTAACTGCCCCTTCAGCATCATTTTGATCTGCAGTGAATACTGGGTGATGTCATTTACTTCCATGCTATGAAAAGCTTCAGTTGCCCATAGGGGTGCCAACTTTGTATTGGGAAATTCCTGGAGATTTGAGGGGGAAGAGCCTGCCGAGGGCAGAGTTGAGGAAGGGAAGGAATTCACTAGGGTATAACACCAGAGTCCACCCTCGAAAGCAGCCATTTTCTCCAGGAGAATTGAGCTCTGTCATCTGGAGATCAGTTGTAATGCTGGGAGATCTCTGGGCCCCACCTGGAGGTTGACAGTCTTATGCCCATTGCCACCTATTAAGCCTTTGTTGAAGTGACAGGACATTGTTCCTCAGGCCCATTGGTATCCTCAGTGCCTACTCTAGGTTGTATCCATGCATGGAGAATTTCTTCTCTTGCCCCAGGTTCCATACAGGACTGTTGGTGCCTGGGAGTAGGAGGTGACATCCATCGCATAGCTTTACCTACAGACTGGATTAATTATTTTTAATGAGTGTCAGAAACTTTGCCCTAGTCTTACTGAAACTCTTTGAGGCATCCCTCTAAATTCCTATGAAGCTTCCTCAGAGTGATTTGCCCTGACCTCTCTTTTTAGCTGAAATCCTCTGAGATAGAAGGTTAGTACTGGTATTTTCAAGCTCTCTTCATCACACTTCCTTCCAGGTGAATAAGAAAGTTAACAGTTCGTACTGGT